CCTTCCCCTTCCCAGTTCCACTTCTTTTCTGTCTCTTTAGTAAAGAACAGGCTTCTAGGAGATGACAATTTCCAAATGTTATACCTGTGTACTATAGTTATATCATTTTTACCCCTCCTTCTCCCTGCTCCAACTCCTCCAGTGTCCCTGCAATCACCTAAAATTCATCATTCTTTTTAATTACTTTTACTTATCTAGAGGTGGTTGCTTTAGGAATACAGCCTGCTGAGCTGCTTTGGTGTTGCTCCTATGTATATCTGTTTAGAGATGGCCACTGGGATTGGATAACCTATCGAGGGGTATCCCCGTGAAGAAAACGAAATATTCCTCTCAGTTGCAGGTCACGTCAGTCCTTTCCTCCTGTTTATAATTAAAGCCACTACTTTTCCTCCCAGATTCCAACCTCTTTCTATACTTGTGAGTTCCACCTCAGCACTGTCACCTGGCCCTCCATTCTACCACCCAACTTGACTTGCATTTTAGAAACTGTTTCAACCCAGGACCCCTGGGCTTTGTGGCATTGGCAGTTTGTGTTCTTGTGACTTTAAGAAAAATTTTAAGGAGCCTGATGATTGATGTATGCTCCAGGCTTTGAAACCTGACAACACGATGGAAATGGGAGAGACTTGGCCACACAAAGTGCTATAAACTAGGACTTGAGAGGAAAAACCAGAGAGTGGAGGTTTCTCACCTGAAAAAGAGGTTACTGAACTATGGCCTAGTAATTATGTTTTGACTCATGAATATTTACCACAGTGAGGACGCTGACCAAATGGTCCTCCATCTGTGACTCACAGAGGATCCTACTCTGAAATTAGAGGCAGAAATTTTGCTGGGTTAAAGGAAGAGTCTGTCTCCTAAGGGCTTCTGACAAAACGTACAAGGCTGTTGGCCTAGCAATGGTTAGTTTAGGACAGACACTTGTCTAGACCACAAACGTAAAGGCCTCCTGTTGACCAGAGCCATAGGTATGCCTGAAGCCAGCTGACTTCTTCTTCACTGCACTCGTTCTGAACTAGTTCTAGTTTAAGCCCCTGAAACTAGAAGGTGTTATCACAGAAGCTGATGGGATTCCCAGTGCACGGAGGCCATGCTGTGAAAAGTGTCTGAGTGATAGATGCCCTCTAAATGTCTAAGCAGCAGTTACACTGACCTACCAACAGTCCTCAGAATGAACTCACGTGTTTCCGCTCTCTCTTTCGTGTACAGATTGAACCACAGACCTTATTTAAGTTACAAACACTAGCACAATCAACTTTCAATGTCAAAAGAACTTAAAAATGAGGAAATTAAAGATGAGATTCCTACTTCTGTACATAAATGCAGAAACCCTGTATTTGCCTCTCCAGTTTTATCACTGGCCCAAAGTCTATCTTCTCTCCTGCCAAGTGACTGGTGATTCAAAATGCAACAGGTCAGTTCCAAACCAGAAAGAAGGAATCACAGTGTCTTCCTGTGTCTGCCAAGGGGAGAAGGAAAGCAGAATGCCTTTACTGAAAAGTAACTACAGAAAGGAATAGTTAGGAACTCAAACCTAGTGCCAGCAGGATTGCCAGAGACCAGAAGCTTAGCACAAAGCCACAGCTCCCAAGAAACCTCCACCAGGACCCCCACCCCACCCGTGCCTGTGTGCCCCTTCTCCCAGGAGGATGGCCTCTGTACATGGCATGTAAAAATGGCAAGACTGAAGTGGAGAAGTTTATCAAACCACTACTGACGGGTCCAGCTGTAGTTACAGAAGAATGAGAGGCCTAAACCTAACACATACTCACCTCTGCCCTCTCCGCTTCCCACTCTCACCCTCTGATGATAGCTTAAAACCGTGGTCTCCGGTTTATCAATTATTAAGAAGTTCCTCCTTTGAGTCACAGACTATATTATAAACACAAAAAACCTAACTGAGAGAGCTGAGCATTTCCTCTTCCTCTCTAAGAACTTGCAATTGAATAGATTTCCTTAAAATCGCAAATGTATGAGCTTGAGAAAGCCTGATTGTGTTGGTGCCATCTTGCTCTGCTCCATCTCTGAAGATGAGAGTGGCAGGGCTTACCACCGAAACCTGAAGTGTCCCTCAGCCAGGAGCCCTTAAGCCTTGAAGGAGCTGGAGAAAGATCTCATGAGTGTCCAACACAGGCAGACCACAGTCCACCATCCTGTTCTAGCCAGTTCTTTCTTGCCACTTCTTGTTAAACTTGTGAACTGGAAGCCGGGGACTGGCAGTGGAGAGAAGAGCTGGAATCCCTTCACTTGTTTTACTCTTTAATGCGAGAGCTGGAGACCTGTCTTGTGGTTAAAAGCATTTCCCGATCCTGTAGAGAACATGGCTTTGCTCCCTACAACCCACAGGGCGGCAACTCAAGACCCTTTGTGACTCCAGTTCCAAGAGGCCCAACCACCTCCTAAGCCTCTGTGGGTTTCTGCATGTGTACAATGCAATTCATGTAGGCACATACAAATAAATAAATCTTTCAAAACAGAGTTATGAGCATGTGTAATCCTTTAGACTGTATGATTTTATTTGTAGCTCACTGAGTATTGGCTGCTAAGTTTATATTCCTGGATCCAAAAGAAATACAGACAGGATCTTAAATTTACAGTCAACCTAGCTATAAGTGAGTGCATTTTAATAATTATAAGAGGACCACCAAAAAAAAAAAATCAAAACAGCAATTCACAGACAGAATTAGATTCCCTGTCAACCTGCCACCTGTAAATGACAGGAAGTGCAGATAGCTGGTGCATATGAACTTGATGCTTGGTGGGGGTAGAATATTCTCTTATTTGTACACAAGCTGAGAGCAGGAACCATGCATGTTTCATCCTTGCGTCTCAGGGCCTGGCAATATATACAAGTGAACATGGAACATTCTATAAGCAAGAATCTAGGTGCTCTGTTGAAATTGCTTCACACAGCACTGAAGCAGGGAGCTGGCACTCACCATGCAGCACTTGGAAGGGGAACTTGTTTTTACTCTGAGGTCAGAAACCTCCACAGCTGAGTGCTTTGGATAATCGAGGCCCCTTTTCTGTATTTGCACAGCTTGGCCCAGACCAAGCAAAGAGTCATTTAAACATAATCTACATTTAAACATCCTTTCCTTTTTTTTTTTTTTTTTAAACCATGCTTGTGCTTCCTAGGGCACATCTAAAAGTCTCACAATATTCTTCTATGCTTTTAAGAAGAAAAAAAAATGCAGTTTTTGAATGCAGTCATGTTCAGCAAGCAGAGGGTTTCCTGGCGCACGAAAGGCTGGATATAAAAACAAACAGGAGAGAGACTGCACAGCTTTAACAGATGGTCCTCAGAGATGGGTTTTAAAGGATGGAGTTTGTTTCCTTACCCAGAGTTTAACCTATCACATCTCCACACTTACAGTGACCCTAAAATAAATCAGTAACATTTGCAAAGTTTTTAAGGCTGACACTTTAACTTTTTCCTGTTTTGTCTAACACTGTGGCCAATGTGATTAGGTCACACTCATGTGAAAAGTTAGTTGTAGGAGAAAAAATGTTGGATGAGCATGAGTGTTTTCAGGAAGATTTTGTTTTTACTAATGTGCACAGTATCATTTGTACTTGAAACCAATTCACTGAGCCTACATATTTTGGAATATTAACATTCTCCCCAAAAGAACTGACAAGCCTAATTCAAGAGGCAATATATGTTTCTGCTTGCTCTTGTGTGATGATTACAGCAATTAGGGTTTTTTTTTTTTTTAATGTTTATCATGTGCACCACTGCTTTTTAAACATGCTCTTCATTATGGAGACCAGCTGAGAACGCATCACCCCAGTAAAAGGAGAACAGTCTTGACTCCCATAGTCCTCCGAGACACAAGAGCTCAAATGCTGGCTCATGTAGCACTGCGTGCTGTCCTCCCAGCCCCTTAGGTAAAAGCTGCTTGTGACTGCTGGGCTGGGTGTTTCCTAAAAAGCATCTTGCTGTTTACACCTGTCAGGAGACAGGCTGGGCTCCTACAGTTCCTGTTGCTTTAGCACTCTAGAGATGTGAGGAACTGTGGAGGCCACTACAAATTTTACAAAATGCTGACATCTATTTACGTTTTTGGAAAAAATGTTGATGGTAATTCCATTTATTCTTTAATTAGCTGAGTGTCTTTATTTATTTTTATCTTTGTAGATTAAGAATTTTAGTAACAGAGATTCTTATTTGCATTTAAATTTTAAATGCCAAGAAACACAAAAGACACAATTTAAGGTATTACATTGTCTAAATGAGACTGTCAGAATCACCAGGCTTTGCGGAGCAATCATACGGTAGAGTACGTAAGAAAGCCTGAGGGAAAAAGAGCGTAACCAACAGAACACAAGCAAAAAAGCAGAGTCCCTCCTTGTGACGGAAGCGGAGTAATCATCAGGAGTTTGAGTGTGTTGCTGAGGAATTTGAAGGGCTAAAAGCTTCTGGAGAATGCTCAAGATAGCTTTGTTGCTCTTGTGTAATGTTTATGGAGAAGCGCTGAATGTTGAATGTTAAGCAATCCAGAGTCCCTATGCAGTGATTCCGTTCCAAATAAGATAAGTAGGTGAGAGGCACACAGCGCGTCAAGCGGCAGCTTAGGAGGCTCTTGCCACACACACACACAGTCAGCACAATGACTCAACTGCCTACATAGACATCAAGATAGATGAGTAAAATGGTTGCTTCTTAGAGGACAAGATGTTTGCTTTCTAGACCAAGCTCTATACAGCTCGTTAATAAATTTCTATAATTTGTTTTCATGTGTTAGTAAGGTACATTCAGAGTTACTTCTATATTAAGAAAAATTATTAGTGAGAGCCTACTCTTCCTAAGCTACACAGATGAACATTTTATGACCAGGGATGTGCAAGGACCACTTGCCTGACTCCAGCATTCCTAGTCACTCCTCCATTAGGAGCCTCCTGAAGACGGTCAGTTAGACTTAGTGCTGTGTTTTTGCTTCAGCCATGCTGAACAGACTGGCTTTGACATACTAATGGGTTTGTTTTTTCCTTTATAGGGACTTTATGTTTTTGTGGTTTATTTCATTTTACACAACCAAACGTGCTGCCCTATGAAGGCCAGCTATACAGTGGAAATGAATGGCCACCCAGGACCCAGCACAGCCTTCTTCACTCCTGGGAGCGGAATGCCTCCAGCTGGAGAGATTAACAAGTCTACCCAGAACCTCATCAAGGCCATGGAGGAGGTGTGTCCCCAGCCCACTTCTGCCTCTCCCTCCCTTACTGTCCAACCTTCCCTTACATTAAGAGTATAAAACAGGAGGGTCTAACTGACCTCTGCAGCCTTTTCTCTCTGAAGTATTAGTTGAGGTATCTTAGTTATTTTTTTTTTCTGTCCTGTGAGCAACATGGACCAGACATGTATACTGAGACATCAGAGAACAATCTATTATCTCCTTCAAAAATGTTCAGAATTTCTAATTTGATGTGATAGAGATTGAATATGTCTAAGAAAATTTCTTTTAAAATGCTATTCTTCCTAAAATCACAGTCAAAGCTATCTTTATTTGCCCATGCTCCTGACACTTCTTCACTCAACAAAGAGAAAGCAAGCAGGCACACCTTTAAATTTAAATGCCATCAAATATTCTAAAACAAAGGCTCGGAGGGTGATTTTGTGGCACTCCTGGAAAATCCAGTCAGGATTTCCTCTATAAAATCTTCCTCCCTCTACTGGCTACATTATTCTGTCCCTTTAAGTTTGATTTCCTGAGTCTGACTCACATGCCCTCCACCCTCGTCTTTTGGCAACATTAGAAGGGCCACTCTTTCAACCGAAAGGCACCTGAGTATATCTGTCCCAGAAGAGGCAGTGATGCACAGCCCTCACAGCTGTGCAGACCAGGCATGTGCTTGGCTGCCATTCTTAGGAATGAAGAAGCAAGGAAAACAGTGTTTGTAGTATTTGTGTTCCTACCCAGAAAAAATATTGGCATGAAATTAAGAAACACTTTGTTGAAAAGGAAATATTGATAGGATGATAGATGGATAGATAAATAATGATGTATAACTGCGAGATGGCCAATGAATAGAGATGTGGTAGACAGACAGACAGATAGGTAGATATACATACATAGATGATAGATAATCAGTCTATCTTCTTATCTTCTCTGCAATTCAGGATTTACTCTCATTCCTGTTAGTTTAAAGCTGAAGCAAATGATCACACTGTTATTACTATGGATAGCCTTTTGATGTGAATGAGAAAAATTTAATATAAAGACTTATCAACTCATATGGGAAAATAAAGTAGAGAACTGGTTGTTGGAGCCTTTAGGTAGGAGAAAAGTTAAGATTTTGATTAAAACGAAAATATTTTGGCTATCAAATGAATAAGTTTAAGAAGGATGATTAAAAATTGAGATATGCCAGCCCTAGAGAGTTGGCTCAGCTGCTAAGAGCACTTACAGAAGACCCAGGTTCAGTTGCCAGCACCTACCTGGTAGCTTACAACCATCTATAACTTCAGTTCCATGGATAGAATGCCCTCGTCTGGCCTCCGTAGGGACCAGAGATGCACACGGTGCACATACATGCCTGAGACAAAACACTGATTCACATAAAGCAAAAATAAAGAAACTTAGTACTTTGAAATATATTGACATTTAATACTATTTCATACACCAGTTGTTCTTAAAACTGAGCTATTTTATCATAATGACAACGAACACAAACAACTAATATTTTAAAATTCATCAGTTTTATTGAATGGTTACCATTCAATAACCCTTGTCTTAGTCTGACCTGTCTTGTGAAATATCTTTCAGCTCTGTGTCGCTGACATTAGAGATCTAGTTTGTCCTTCACCCAACCACACTGTAAATGTCCCACGGACAAATGCGCCCAGAAGCTGCAGTGTTGGAGAATTCGGATATGATGTTTCTGTCACTGAAGAAAGTTGTGTGGAAGACTGCTGTTCTAGATTCCCGGGTGCCTACTGACAATAATCCCGAGCTTTCACCTCCTCTCCAGTTTATCTCTAAGGCCCCTCAGTTTACTTTTACTCAGTCTGAAGTGTCCCTGCGGTCTCTCAGCAGACCTTATAGAAGGCAACAGCTGTGGCCGTCCGGGTCCTGGGCTGGAGCCATTGCTTGAGTGTTGCACAACTGCATAGCGTAAAGTCTGTCTGCCTGCATTCCTGCGAGGCTCAGAACTGGCCTGGTTCCAGCTGTCAGGGAGAGACTGCGGGAGTCTAAAAAGCCAGCAAGAGCAGTGAAGGCCAAGGAAAAGAAGGATTAAGGGCTCATTTACACTAACCTGGTTTGCCAGTAACCTAGAAAGACAGGAATATTTTTAATCATCTCAGGACAGAACTGTTTTTGAGCATGAAATAAAAAATGAGGATTGGTTAAATTCCCCTTAATTCAGTATGTCTTTTGTATACAGACTCTATTTATAATATGTTCTGGATTAATATTTTGAAATGTTCTTCTGAACTTCCTTAACATATATTTTCCAAAAAAAAAAATGTTAGTTTTATCTCCCCATACATGGCATCACAGCAATCTACATACGGCTTGAAGAATCTGTTTTAAATAATCAGGTTAAACTAACTCTAGAAGAGGCATAATTTTACAAAGAGCAAATATAACATGAAATCTCATAAAAACAATTCAATAGGCCATTCACAGTCTTTAATAAAGTGTAGAAACACATGGTAAAATTGAGCTTCAAAATAAATGTGTACATTCAGGTTATCAAGTATCACTTCCTTCTTCTTTTACCCTGACCCAAAAAGGTACCATCTGACTGGGAGAGAGTGTCCTTCCAACAGACCAGCCAGGCAAGCCCTGATTTGAAGACAAGTCCACAGAATGGTGCCTCATTCCCTTCTTCTGGGGGCTATGGACAAGGGTCCCTGATAGCCGATGAGGAGTCACAGGAGTTTGATGACTTGATATTTGCATTAAAAACTGGTATGTATGACAGCTACAAATGACATCAGAAGCAGTCTTGAGAAGCTTCTTTATCTCTCCTTCCACAAATGTGTTTGCACACTTGGCGTATCCTGATTCTCAAGACCCATTTCTGATCCAGTCAAACCCTAAGATATTTTGTTCTTAGCATCAAATTTAACACAGTCTAAGAATAATATACAATTTGCTTTTAAGGAAGAAAACAACATACTCTAACTAAATGTAAATATCTGTGTTCTAAAATGCAGCTTGAACACCAAGATCTTAGGAAGTCAAATTCAATATAAGTACCCTCAGTGAGCAGTTTAACCTCTGATTTGCAAAAAAAGACATCACTTGTGAGGAACAGTTTCCAGATACTTTCAGAAGCAACAAACATTGTATGTGTCTACAGTTTCCTAAGTGTGAAAATAACACGTGGTATTTCATTATGTGTGTGTGAGTGTGAGTGTGTGTTTACAGTTCCACTCAGTCTGTAACCCTAGAGAGTAATTCTTATGCGGAAAGAAATAAGATCCTAATGACCCCTAACTCAGTAGCACATCACCTAGAAATGGAGAAAGTGACAAATCTGATTGTGCCTGGAAACTGTTAATGAATACCGTGTTTTTCAGTGTGTAAATGTCCACATTAATGGTGGTGTGATCTTTCCACCACTTTGGCAAATACCTGAGTGAAACAAGAGAGGGATCATTTCTTTCTGCTCATAGTTTTAGAGGCTTCAGTCCATGGTCAGCTGGTTCTATTGCTTTTAGGACCATGACAGAAACATCAAGGCAGGGCATGAGGAAAGATGGTAACCAGAGTATAAAAAGAGCATCCAGAAGGGCCCAGGGGCAGGATGTCGTCTTCAAGGGGTGCTTCCTCCAATTCGGGGCCGCCTTCCGCAGTGGTACACCTCCTGGTGTCCATTCCCTTCTTGAAAAGAGCAGAGGATTACACCACCGACTGAGTCAGAGTGAGTCCCTGTGATCTTATGGCCTTTGAAGATGACCTCGCAGTAAGCCTGAGAGGTGTGCTTTGCTAGTAGACTAGGTTACCTCTCGGTCTGGTCAAGTTGGCAGTCAAGATTACCTATCATAGGGATACATGTTAACTACTTTATTTGTCATAAATCTATTGGGAATAAAAAATAGTCATTAAATCATTTTAGAGTTTTTTTCAAATCCTAAAAACATTTTTAAACATTTTCTTTCTCAAAAATTTAAACTGTTGCTCTTATAAAAATACCAATGAACTCTTTTTTTAATTTTTAAAAATTTATTATTTATACAGTATTCTGCTTGCATGTGTGCCTGCGTATCAGAAAAGGGCACCAGATTTCACTATAAATGGTTATGAGCCACCATGTGGTTGCTAGGAATTGAACTCAGGACCTCTGGAAGAATAGCCAGTTTTCTTAACCTCTGAGCCATCTTTCCAGACCCCTAATTTTTATTTTATTATTTCTTATAATTTATTCACTTTGTATCTCTATTGTAGCCCCCTCCCTGATCTTCTTCCAGTCCCACCCACTCTCCCTCTTCCCTCCATCCTCCTCCCCTAGTCCACTGAAAAGGAGAGTCCTCCTCCCCTACTGTCTGATCCTAGCCTATCAAGTCTCATCAGGACTGCCTGGATCCTCTTCCACCAGGGGAAAGTGATCAAAGAGCAGACAACCTAATTCATGTCAGAGACTGCCTCTGCTCCCCTTAATAGGGAATCCACATGGAGACTGAGCTGCCATGGGTTACATCTGAGCAGGGAATCTAAGTTACCTCCATGCATGGTCCTTGGTGCCAATGAACTTTTTAAAAAGCAAGAAGATATATCATGAAGAGGAAGTTCTTTAAAAGCTTGTTTTTAAATGTTTCAATATAGCATAAATTTCTTTTTCTATAAAGGTATATTGATTTGATAAAACATTTTTGTTTTCACAAAGTAAAACTTCCAAATCCCAGGGACTACATCTTATTTTGTATTTCACATCAAGATCTCATAATTTAGAAATGATGAGGCCACAAAACAAATCACTGCCTCCTGATCCCTCCCTGTGCTCATACCCAGGATGCCACACTGCCCCTCAAGCCCTTCTGAGAAGTGACAAATCCTACTGAAATGAATAAAAACTCAACCCTATATATACAGCTGATGTTGGTACTCCTATGCCTGTAGGGGGAACTTTCAAACCATAAACGAATGGATGGACAAAAATGGGAAATCAGGGACTGCTACGGAGGAATAGGCACAGGGTTAAGGAAGAAGACAATAGATCATGAAGGAAGTTAGAGAGAGTTGAGATCAGCTTTTTCATCTTAAGAATGTGTAGGGTTTAAACAGGAAAGTAATGCAGGAAGGACCTTACACACTGAAGGAACCTAAACAAAACTTTCCGTCTCAACAGTGTGAAGCTTGTTTGTGAGAACAGTGTTAGGACAGGGCAGGACCAACAGCCTGATAGAGCCTGGCAGACGCTTTGTCTGCACGGTTAGTAACTCACAGCAATTCTGTGATGAATGTCAGTGAACACACTCCTTGAGCTCTTTGTAGTAGATCCTTGAGGGCTCAATCCCCTGCCCAGAAGTACTAAGGAAACTATAGATTCACAGTTCAAATTTCATTTTAGCAGTTCTGAAGAGTTGTAAAAAGACCAATGTTATTAAATTTAACCTTGCATTTCTAGAATGTATTTAGCGATAATTTTCTTTAGGGAGTACAGAACCTCTGCTGCTGTTTAGCATAATATTAAAATGCAGTTTGGTAGTCATAAATTGTGGGGCATCTACAGTGGATCACGGAAGGTTTTTGAGGCAAAAAAATAAATAAATAAAAATAAAAACCTTTCACAAAAGTATAAAGAGTAAATGATAAGCAGTATCAGAAAAGCTGGAAAGAGATCAGAGTGGGCCAGGGGTGCTAGACCTCACGTGGGGAAGGTAAATAACAACACAGGCGCTGACGAAGAACAGAGGACACACAGAGACCTGCTGCTCACGTGGGTAGGCATACAGAGCCTCATTAGTGTGTTTGCTGCGGGAAATGGGTGTTCTTGGTGGCAAAGCATCCCTGATGAATAGTCATAAGATTTGAATCTCAGACAGTGGACCAGGATAGAAGATACTATTTAAAATACATTAGGGCAGAGATTTTATTGGTAGTCATGGAGATTATTAAGTTTGAAGTAGAAGAGTAGAAGAAGGGATAAGAAAGGAAAAGAAATAAAGACGAAGTTAGAAAGGAAAGAAAAGAGAATGGATGGGAAACAAGAACATACTAGATAATGCTTGCATCTAAGTCAGAAGGGAAGAAAGTCCCACTGAGAAACTCTAGGAAATAAAGACAAATAAAGACAGAAAAGAGTTTTAAGGAGAATAGAATAACTAGCTATATAAAACACCGAGTAGAGTTGGGACTGAAAAGGAGTTTATAAATTATGATCTGAGTACATTAGGTCCTACTTCTGTATACAGTGTCATTAGATCTTTATGTTCAAACACTGAAGTAGGATAAATTCTTGGGCCATAATTAAATTAGATCTGTGATCTATATATATAACAAGTACGGAGTGCATTTGGTTCAGGAATGCATGGAATGACTTGCTTAGAGATTTAGCTTAGTGTTCCATACAGTTCCCTAAACTCTTAGGAAAAAATATTTTAAGAGATCAAAATGGCAATTGCTAACACCAGTTATCTGTATTATTAGAAAAGATACCATAATAACCAAACATCAGCCCCTGGACACATGCCATCATGGGCCATGGCTACACAGAGGAGGTACTCACATGCCCCAGCAGAATTCAACACTGACCTGTAGTCTAGTCTTGGCCTACCAAGACGTAGCTTGACTCACACAGCATTTTAACATTTTTGAGCCAGATACCATATGTAAGATGTAGAGATACCATATATAAGTCTAGAAAAGTATAACAACATGGATTTTAAAATAATTGAGGTATTGGCATACAAAGAAATGGGTTTGTTATATTTTCATACGTCTATGTCATTATACTTTGTTGTTATCTGCCTTGCCACTTCTTTCCTCTTGCTGAACCTCTTCCCTTGCAGAGCTCCTCCCCTCCCCTTGTGCTTGCATGCATGTATATTCCATTTCCCCTGTGCTCCCCTCCTTTCTGTGTGCCTCTTCCTTCTCATTCATCCTGACTTATTTGGTGTTCTAAAATATGCACACATGAACATTTATATCTAGAGTCCACATGCAAGAGAAACATGCAGTATTTGTCTTTCCTTGGTCTGACTTTTTCAGAGCGCTCCAGAAGACCAGAGAAGGCCCTGAAATGAAAGAAGACTTGTCAAAATCTAGGGTGCAAAACCTAGTTTCTTTTTATTTAAATTTTTCATATACTATATAATCACATTCTTCTCCCTCCTCCAAGCTCCTCCCAGGTCCTCCTCCACTTCCCTACCTATGAAGCTTTATTTAACCTCATTTTCTTTTCACCCCTCTCTCTCCATATGGCTCCCTCTCCTCTTTCTTCCCCCCCATGAAAAACAAACATTTAAAAAATTAAAAAAGGAAATAAAAATAAACGAAAATACTAAGAAGACCAAAAAAAAAAAAAAAAAGGCAAAACAAACACATAAAAACACAGAATTCATTTTGTGTTGGTCAACTACTCCTGGGCATGGGCCTGGTCTGAAGTGTGGTTGATGCACCATGTGACACTCCACTGGAGGAAAGCGATTTCCTTTTTCCCAGAAAATGAAGAGGGGCTTCTTGGCTAGGAGGAAGACTTTATTGTCACCACTGCCCATTCTCATGCTGAGGTTTTATTTAACTTGAACTCACTTGGTCCTACCCATACTGTCACAGTCTCTGTGAGTTCACTTGTGTATTAGCCCTATTGCGTCTAGAAGACCCTGACTTTTTTGGAGCCATCTACTACCTCTTATTTTTGCAGTTTCTTGTTCACATAGGTTCCTGAGCTTTGAAAAGAAGGATTTGATAAAGACAATTCACTTATGGTTGAATGTTCCAGAGTCTTCATGCTTTGCACATTGTTGAGGTGTAGGTATCTGTGTTAATTCCCATCTACTGCAAGAAGAATCTTCTTTGATGAGGGTTGAGAAATGCACTGATCTGTGGGTATTGCAATATGTCATTTGAAGTCATCTAACTGCTAAGTTCTTTTAGCAGAGTAAAACTAGCAGGTTTTCTTCTGGGCACTGTAACCTATCTAGTACCAGGTACTTGTCCACTTTAGTAGTGTTAAGTACTTACTAACTCACTGAACCTTACTACCTAACCTCTGTGATCACTCAGACTGAAACACAAATTAACAGCTTAAAAACTAATATCCACACATAAGAGAAAACATGGAATATTTGTTTTTTTGGGTCTTGGTTACCTCACTTTTAATGATTGATTTTAGCTCTATCCATTTACATTCAAATTTCATAGTTCATTTCTTTTTTATATCATGTTTTTATTATTTATATTTTTATTAATTAGTTTATTCACTTTGTTTCCCACCTGTAGCTCCCTCCTCCTTTCTCACCCTCCTTCCTTCTTCTCCACCCATGCCCCTCCCCCAGTCCACTGATAGGAGAGGTCTTCCTCCCTTTCCCTCTGATCCTAGTCTATTAGGTCTCATCAGGAGTGGCTGCATTATCTTCCTCTGTGTCCTGGTAAGACTGCTCCCCCCTCAGGGGGAGGTGATCAAAGAGCAGGCCAATCAGTTCATTCCAAAGATAGTCCCTGTTCCCATTACTATGGAACCCACTTTGGACACTGAACTGCCATGGGCTACATCAATGCAAGGGTTCTAGGTTATCTCCATGAATGGTCCTTGGTTGGAGTATCAGTCTCAGAAAAGACCCCTGTGCCCAGATTTTTTTGGTTCTGTTGCTCTTCTTGTGGAGCTCCTGTCCTCTCCAGGTCTTACCCACTTCTTTCATAAGTTTCCCTGTGCTCTGCCCAAAGTTTGGCTATAAGTCTCAGCATCTGCTTCGATACCCTGCAGGGTAGAGTCTTTTAGAGGCCCTCTGTGATATGCTCCTGTCCTGTTCCCTGTTTTCTCCGTCTTCTGATATCCATCCTCTTTGCCTTTCTGAATGAGGATTGAGCATCGCAGCCAGAGTCCTCCTTCTTGATTAGTTTCTTTAGGTGTACAGATTTTAGTATGTTTATCCTATATTATATGTCTATATCCACTTATGAGTGAGTATAAACCCTGTGTGTCTTTCTGCTTCTGGGATACCTCACTCAGGATGATCTTTTCCAGTTCTTACCATTTGCCTGCAAATTTCATGATTTTCTTGTTTTTAATTGCTGAGTAATATTTCATTGTGTAAATGTACCACAATTTCTGTATCCATTCCTCAACTGAGGGGCAACTAGTTGTTTCCAACTTCTGGCATTTGCAAATAAAGCTGCTACAAACATGGTTGAACAAATGTCCTTGTTGTATACTTGAGCATCTTTTGGATATATGCCTAGGAGTGGTATAGCTGGATCATTTTTTCTTAACAACAGAATAATATTCTGTTGTGTAAATGCACCACGTTTTCACTAGCCATCCACCAGCTAATGGGCATATATGCTGTTTCCAACTTCTGGTTATTATTAATAGAGCAACAGTGAATGTGGATTGAGCAAGTAACACTATAGTAGGATGGTACGGTTGGTTGGGTATCTGGCCAAGAATGATATAGGTGGATCTTGGGTAGATCTATTTCCAGCTTCCCAAGAAATCTCCACACTGATTTCCACAGACTGTTCCAATTTTTCACTCCCCCAGCCATGACTAAGTGTTCTCCTTTCTCTGTATCATCACCAGCATGTGCTGCCATTTGTTTTATTGATTTGACAATTTTTACTGGGGTAAGATGAAATTTCAAAGTAGTTTTACTTGCATTTCTATGAAGAATAAGGGTATTTATCAATTTTGAAGTGTTTCTCAGCCATTTGTGTTTCATGTTTTGAGAAACTTCTGAAAAGGATGTCAGGGAAGACCACTGGATCTGTACCAAGACCCCAGCCCTAAGGTAAAGCAGGTGGGCTCAAAGCCTGGTTTCTGAGTATACACCATAAATATACATCAAGCACCCACAGGACACTAAGTTCTTCCTTAGTGTGAGTGAGAGCAATGGGAAGGATGTAACCCAATAGCAAAGGCAGACATTTGGAAGAGAATCATGATTTCCTACAGGCATTGAAGGCAGCACCTGCCCTGCTGTTCATAGGAAAAGCACGGGCAGCCAGATGAAGGGGGCAGAGAATGAGAAGTGCATCTCAGCAGAGGCCATCAAAGGGAACGACACTGAGACCCAGACAATGGGAGAAACAGAAAAAAAAAAAAAACTGCAAAAGTCAGGGGATCTGAGCATGGATGGGCAACTCATGTGACACAGAAACATAGGAAGGTTGTGACAGACAAGATCAGGGGAAGCCCAGCCAGAAGTTGATATGGATAGGTGCCTGATTTTTTTCTCCACACAGGTTATCCTGAAGCTCAGACATTTCCTATCTCCCTCTCTATTGCTGCCACCAGCTTCTTACCTGCTGGTCTGCAAAGTTGAGTGGCCAGCAGAGGGGGAAGCTGGGAGCTCTTGCCCTGTAATTGGTACTAGCATACTCTGTGACCTCATCTGTAGTCTTTCTCTCTCTCTGTCTCTGTCTCTGTCTATGTGTGTGTGTGTAGAAAAAGAACGCTAGGGTTTTTATACAGTTCCCACATTGCTGAAGAAAAGAACAGGTATTGATCTAGTATACTTTTAAATTATTTTCCACTGTGGAGGAAAACGCAGTGACAGTAGTAGAATATCTTCCAAACAGAAGTTTGAGGTGGTGCGTGCAGCCAGCTTCCTGGGTTTCTGATGGGAATGTTTGGTACTTGCTGTTTGCATGTCTTTGTCCTGAGCTCAGTCTTCAGTGCCAGTTTGCTCAAGGCACTAACAGGACAGCACCTGACCTCCTCCTTGGAAGCCGCCTTTCTCCTCAGACACTAAGGGCCACCATCAAGCATACCCCACAGGACTATGGGACTCAGTGGAACTCAAAGGGTTGGTGGTTATGATTTCTATTCCATGGGCAAAAAGGTCTACTGACTTGCTTGATTGTGCGCTTTGGTGAGCCTTTAGTTGAGAAACCACATTCTCTATTGGAAATTGTACCTGTCCATCACATGTCAACAAGGAAAACAGATAAAGCCATGTGTGGTGACTCACTCCTGTTATCTCAGCACTCAGGCTGAGGCAGGAGGGTTGCTGTGAATTTAGGGCCAGCCTGGACTACAGAGTGAGATGCTGTCTCAAAACATAAGGAAAACACAAGGAGTCCAAAGTTGTGTCTTTAGAAATCAGATTTTTACCTGTTTTTGTTGTTGTTGTTTTGGTTTATCGAGACAGGGTTTCTCTGCATAGCCTTTGCTGTCCTGGACTCACTTCATAGACCAGGCTGACTTAAAATTCACAGAGATCCACCTGCCTTTGCCTCAGTGTTGGGATTACAGGCATGTGCCACTGTGTCCGACTTCAATTTCTATTTTTAAAAGCTGCCAAAGTAGCGTCAATTTAAAGTATAGTTCCATAATTTTAATGTATTTGTTGTTTATTCCAAGTATATAGCCTGGACTTTTACTAATACAGAAGATATTTTGGTTTAATGTAACTTGATCATTAAGAATTTACTGCCCTAAAAGTTCGGATTTCTGTGTTTATTCTTCCATTTAGGGGCTGGTCTCAGTGTCAGTGACAATGAATCCGGCCAGGGCAGCCAGGAGGGAGGTACACCGACCGACTCCCAGATTGTGGAACTCAGGAGGATTCCCATCGCCGACACCCACCTCTGAGCCTCCGGAACACGGAGCCTTTCTAAAGAGGACAATTTCCTGTTTGTCTTAGCTTTTGAACCAACTGCTGTAAACACGTACAGCCATGTAGTAGTGGTCTGTGTGTCCCACTGAATGACTAACACAGAAGTGACTGTTGTTCGGAATATACATTGACTAGTATTTGTGTGACTTAAAAGTGGACCATTGTAATAAAAGATCACCTTCCAAAAATATTAGTTGTTTCTTAGTCATACTAATGTGGCTAACATTGTTTAATGAAAATAATTATCAATAAAAAACAGTAGAATCCAGTTGGAATCATCCAGGCTCATTATTTACGAATAAATACACATGAGCTAAAAGACAGAGAGTGTGTCAGAAGACATCAGGCACCTGTCTCTTCCAGCAGGGGTTGGAAGGGATCCAAAGTCTACACTTCTCCCCAGTTACATGATTTTAGGTCCTGAAAAACCTCCTGTCTGGTGTGTGAATGATTCGACACCTGAGTGTGGATGGGGCCCTGAGATTGTGCTGGTCTTTTTCATAGCAAGATACATTTCTGCCCTCAACAAACTCAAGGTTCTGAATACTTTCCAGAATGGATGTTCTGTCCCCAGTTAAAAATAACTCCAGCGCACTCATCCACGAAACCAGGAGGAGGTTCATTCAAACAGTATAGTTTGTTTTGGAGAAAATTGTCTTGGTTTGTGATTTTTAGTCTTTCTTTGTCTTGGAATGAAAAATCAGGAAATCTCGCCCAGAACACTATTGTAGTCAAGATTATTTCATTTACTGAGTTTCCAGAAGATGTGATGGAAACAGAACAGAGTTACTCAGAAGAATGCTTGGTGACCTTTCATTTTGGAGCCCTTACATATTTTTAAAAAATAAACCTAAACATCATCCCAAAGAAGAATGTGACATTACCTAACAATTTAAGAAACTTTTCTCTCTTAATAATTTTCCTTGAAGCTACAAATAAAGCCCCACAGTGCTATATCTGGGTGTCAGGTATGGCTGTACGCTCTATGAAACCTGCACAGCATTATTTATCCTGACTGGAGTTTGTTTTGTTTTGTTTTCTTCTCAAAGCCCCCCCCCATCCTTCTTACATTGGGCTCTAATAAACAGATTGTTTTTATGAGTAGAAGGTGAAAACTCCACAACAAAATCAAGAGTATATACAGAAGAGGCCACATCTCCAGCTGACTCCCATCTCTACACTGGGTTGTCACGCCCTGCCCCCATATCTTATGGGTCTTTTGAAAATTTGTACTTTCGAATATTAAAACTGAAAATCCTTTTCCCAATTTAGATTCTAGGGAAGAGGGGGATGAAATGCAAGGCTGGATGGCGATGAGACAGGTGGGATCCTTCCATGGTAAGAGATGGAAACCGCCCATACACAACACAGGTTCTCCTGCTCAGAATGTGTTATCAAGGTGGTTTAAGCCTGAGTAGCACCTTCCACATCTCTCGGCTCTGATCACAGTTGCCTAAATACAGTGGGGACACAGATTTAGGAATGTAGCTCCCAAAGCCTTCCACCGTGTGTGTGCAGTTTTTGACAGCCTCCTGTGTTTAGCCCTAAGACTTCTCTGTGAGGGTAAGTTTCACTGACCTTCCTTATGCCTGGCTGCCAGAGCAGGTCTCCCCTGGACAGCCTGACCTGGAGCAAAGACCACTGGAGGGCCCTTCTGCTCTTCTGTTTTATTTGTTGTGGGCATGGACCCCATTTTGCCAAGTGTCCCCAGCAAAACAAAAACAGGTGAAGAACCTCATTGCCCATGAGTTATGCTCCAAGAAAGACTTAACCGACCAAAAGCTACAACACTTCCACACCTTGAATCTCTTACAGTTTTTAACTGCTCAATGGAATAAGGTACAGTTCCAATAAATGATGTCTTTTCTGATAAACTTCATTGTCCATTGACCTTATTCACACTCAGCTGTTCTCACTTACCTAGACTGAATCCCATACAATTGTTTTTATTAAAGACGTGCTTTTATGAAAATTCAGAAAATCCCAGATACCTGTAACACACAGTAGCCAGCACATACACATCAGTGAGTGCAAGGACTCTATACCCCCAGGGGTCAAGCCACATTGACAAATGAGGCGGCTACCTGAACTCCCTGCACTTGCAAAGCAGGACACACGGTTAACCTCTGCGTCATGGGCACCAGGGTGTTTCCTCATCTTCACAGCAGGACCCATGCCGTAATGCGAGCCAGAGTGTGGCTATCACTTCAGATCCTAGTGTGAATTCTTTTGGAGATGCATCACAAGCTGAGGCAGCTGGATCACCTCTACTTCTTTTTCAGTAGAGGATGAGCACATCCTATTGCATTCCCACCTGTGCAAGAGTCCCAGTTTCACTGCTAGAACCCAGAAATTGTCAATATTTCATTTTCGTTGTTTGTTAGCGTATACGCATTGTGTGTGGTGGATTTCATCATGACATTTTTATGTATGCACATAGCGATTTTGGTCATAGTCCATCGCCCTTTCTCGTCCTTCTCTCACATACGCTCTTTCCTCTTAGTAACTGCTCTGACGGGTATGGGGTGACATGTTAGTTTGCACCTCACTGGTAAGTGGTGACTAAACACTTTTATGTGCATGTTGGCTATGTTTGCTTTAGAGAACTATCTGTTTCAGTTCAAGGCCCCTTTTTAATTATGTCATTGGGGTTTGTGTTTCTGTTTTTTCCTTCTTCTTTTCTTTGTTTTGTTGCTTTTGGGGAAACAGGGTTTCTTTGTATAATCTTGGCTGTCCTGGAACTCACACTAAAGACCAGGCTGGCCTCGAACTCACAGAGATCCAGCAGCCTCTGCCTCCTGAGGGCTGGCATTAAAGGCGTGTGCCACCACACCCAGAATATGTTGTCTATTTATTTATTTTTCTTGATTTGTAGAGTTCTGCTATACCTTAAAGCTTAATCTTATTGGATACATGGTTTGCAAGTATTTCTCTCATTCTCTAGATTGCCTTTTTGACTTCATTAATAAATGAGCTAAAACAACTTCAAAAGAATAAATGCTCCATGATTCCATTTATGTGAGGCATTTAAATAGCCAAAACAGTAAAAGTCTGAGCAGGGTCTGAGGCGGGAGACATGAGGACTGGTGAATCAGTGGGCATAAGGTTTCAATAAAGATGAATAACCTTTAGCAATTTTCTGTTTATGTTTATAATAAGGAATAATGTATTTTATGCCTAAACTGTATTAATAACTTAGCCACCACAGTAAAATACATTTTTAAGGCCCTTTGTCCACTATTTACTCCATGCTAACAGAGCATGGAGAAGAAAAATCTAAATCTTATTTTAATTTTCAACCTCTTATGGGACTTCGACTGTGTCTCTTAGAGCCCCCTAGTAACCCACTACTAACCTCCTAATGAGAAACCTCACTAGACCAAAGCATTCTTAGAAGTAGAAAGTAGAAGTAGTCTTATTCTTTCTGGTGTCCCAAGAACCCCACAAACTGCCATGATCAAAACTTATGCCTAGTAAGTTATTGTTGAATCAAAAAGTAGCTCACATTATCTAAATTATCTAAATTACCAGTATCTAAATTAGAGCATCATTTTTATTCATCCTTCATATGTTGTTATAGGCACACTTTGCACCTAAAAACCCAAGTGTAGAATAAATGCCATGTCATCGTGTTACCAAATTTCTTTCTCCTTTCCTTTTCAACGATATAACTTATTAAATTATATCTGTAATTCACACTGATTTTTATTTATCCAGAGTCTTGAAAACTGCTAAAGACCTATTAAAAAACAAAAACAAAAACATGACATTCATTTTGACGTTGGCCTCGTAGTAGATATATTCATTTTCTGTTAAAACACTGAGGGGTATTTTATAAAGCAAGGAGGTTTATTTAGCTAGAAGTTGTAGATACTGAAAATACAAGATAGAATACCACCACTTTAGTCTCTTCCTAGCTGCCATCGGCATCATGGCATGGTAAATTCCATTGTTGGGAAAGTGCATGTGGAAGAGATTACACAGAGAGACAGGAAGTCAGAGAGTGATGGGGGCCAGGCTTGCTGTTTCATAACAGCTTGCTTTTTAAGAACACTTACTCAGACATAGACTCAATCCCTGCTAGGGCAGCCCTCTAATGACCTACCTGCCTTCCACTAGGTCTCACCTCTGACAGAGTTCACCACACTGAGAACCATGCTTCCAGCACATGCTCCTGTAGGGGAAAACCACAACCAAACACAAGCTTAAAACCAGAATGGTTTCTTAAGGATTGTTTGGAGAGAGGACACCAAGCCAAGGGCCAACAGGCAGCAAATGCCATTTTCCCTTCATATCTAATCACTGTTTTATAACCTGTGAGTCACCGCTAGGGAAAAATCACAGATGCACAAATCTACAAGCTTCCTACTTACCATGTGCCATGGTGAGTGGCTCCAGTGGTGTGTATGTGTCGTAACTGAATGAGCCATGCTGCCTGGACCCAAAACATCACGCTTGACCCTAGATAACAGTGAATCTACACTTATACAAAATTCACGGGAGGTTTGGCGGGGGAGCGATTCTCATGTTTATGATCAAGCAATGACCTGTTGCATGATGTTAAGAACAAACTGTTGGTTTTCATCAACAGTTCCCATATCCAGCTGCATTTACTTCCTCAAAACAATCTAAAACATTATGATCCAGAAGTCGTGATTTCTTGCCAGTGGCCAAGACAAAGACTAAAGAGGGAAGTAGGCCTCCCTTCTGGCAAAGAGAAAATATTTGGAAAAGCACCTAATTTTTTAAGTCATTTTAAATTCAGAAAAAAATAAATAAATAAAATTCTAACACAATGGAATGCTGCAGACTGTATAGCTTGTTTGCCCTTTGACTAAAGGTTAATTAAATAATCTCTATTCGTCTTTTGTTGTTCCTTTAAAAAAAAAGATTGACTTTTTTATTTAATTTTATGTACATGGGCCTTCTGCCTGCAGTTTTATTTGTGTGCCAGGAGCACGCAATGCTCATGGGGGCCAGGAGCAGACTTCACATCCCCGAGCAGGAGTTATGGATCATTTACAGCCACTGTCTGGGTGCTGGGAACCAAACTCAGGTCCTCACCCAGCACAAAAGCTGAGACCTCATCCCAGCCCCTATTCTTTCCAATCTGTCAGTTCTGTCATGTTTGCTGTAAACTGCGTTTAAGAAAAGAAAATGTACTTTTTGTCTTATAAAACTTCCCTTTAAAGGGAAGTCCATATGATGGAAAACAAAAAGTAAAAAAACAGGGTTTTTGCTTGTCATTT